AACAAGGAGGAACAAACTCAAACTTGTTAAGACAATGTCCACAATGCAGTCTCGCGTCTGCTAGTCATAGAATAGATGATACATCTAATAAGAACGAACTAATGTCACTAAATCAACTTTATACAGAATAAGATCTCAACAGTTTTTGCAGAAGCAATGGCTAAAAAACAAGCAACGAAGTTACCATCGACAGTAAAGAAGCAACTCATTGAAGAGATTGCACATTTTGTGGAAGCTCATGAAAAAGAAGGTGAAAGTCCTAATAGTCGTTACTACAGACAGTTCGTTTCAAAACCACATTTCAGCGGAGAGGCGGCGGAAGGAGTTGACTGAGAAGGTCGACGAACTGTATCTGCAGCTGCGAGATGATCTTTTCAAAGCATCTGAGTTTGTTCTACCAGAGGTCCGCGGTCCTTTATCCCTTTAATCTCTGTTTTCACAGTCTTTGTTTATTTAGAGCGTGCTCAATGAGAATCTTTATCAATTCTTGGATGCAGCAAGTACGGAAGGATCGGTAGGATTATCTGATGATTTACCTACGAGAAGCAGCACTTCTGCGGGAGACTTAGAGGTCCGTTTTACACCGCATTAGTAGAAGAATCTCAAGCAATAAAAAAACAAGTAGAAGATAACTTCACGCATTCATCTTCGATACAAAATGTAATCGTTCTCTTAATCAGAAAAAAAAACAGGCGTATCACTTTGAGATAGAACTAAAATTTGTGGTATGGCAGCCAATTGTTTCTTTACAGGTGAAGTCGACTGAACTTGAAACGGGGTCGGTCAATGCTGCTTCGCAAATGGTCTCCAGGCTGAGGTACCGCTCTTTCTTTTGTCTTCCTATTGCTTGGCTGTTCGCTCTTCCTAGGGAATGGCCATCGGTTGCTGGCAACCTATGGTCGTTCCCTTACCTTATTTGATGCTTTTGTTTTGCTCGTTGCCTTTTTCATTTACATCAGTCTCCAGATGCCTTTTACATATTACTTAACCAACGCTCGAAGTTTTTTGTTTTGCGTCAAACTTCAAGAACAGTATATATTATTTTGTTTGGACTTACATAGTAATCCGACAACTGTTGGGGCTATTGAGCATACCTATACATCACTGGGGGTGCGAAACAATTTTTTTTGGG